TTCTTTTTTAATGTAAAAGTTTTTATTGTTTTTTCCCCCCTACATCTATCTATATCTATATATAAATAAAAATGTAAATGTTCGTTTGTTCAAAATCTTAAATCTCCGAAAGTTCTTCACCGATTGCTTTGAAATTTTGACACAACGTTGCATTCGAATACGCACGTGTTTTTATATACCTATATTATATAGATGTCACACCTGTGACAGGTAAAAACATGCTTTTTTTGAAAAACAGCACCATCTGTTGGACGTAAAAGCAACACAAACGTGCGCTTTCTCTTTTCTTTCTTTTCCATTTAACCAGACTGAGCCACAGCAACGGGTGGCCCGGTACAGCTAGTTCAGTAATAATTTTTCAACAAACGTGCTGTCTGAGTTTACATTCGCTAATACATATTTAATTCCTAATCCTTTATTCTTTCCTCTAGCCATTGATAAAATAAGTCCCAAGTTGATAATATTCCATGTCTTCTTTTTCTTTCAGTCTCATAGTCTATCCATCTCTGCACATTCTACTATTTTTTAAATTATTTCTTCATCTGATGGTATTCCTTCATTTTTTCAATATTGCGCAAATATAATTCTTGCCGCTGCTGTAACATGTAAAATCAAATATATGCTTCATTTATCAGTCTTTTCTGTCATTATACCTAATAAAAAAAAGTTCAGGTTTAAAATCTACATGTTCTCCCAAGATCTTTTCTAGCCAAGCATGTATCTTTTTCCGATAACTCTTTACTTTGTCACATGTCCACCAAACATGATAATAAGTGCCTGACATGTTTACATTTCCAACATCTATCCGACATGTTTTTAAACTTTTTTGCTAGTCTTGCTGGTGGCAAGTGCCATCTATAAAACATTTTATATAAATTTTTCTTTGTAGGAGGTTGACATTGTCAGTTTGTAATTTCTTTCCCATAATTTTTGTCATCTTTCTAATTCTATATTGTATCCAAAATTTTTCGCCCATCTTAATCGTTTCTTTAACTTATTTGCTTTCCATTTTCAAAGTGAATAGAAAATTATACATTTTCTTACTTAGTTTCTCATCAGAAGTTAACAATGTCTTATCAAACACAGTTTGTTCCTTATAAAATCCATACAGTTTAACATCTTTTTCATATCTAGCTTGCATTCGTAAATGTGCCCACCGTGAGGTAATGCTACCCTTTTCCTCTCTCTCATTGGCAGCTCCTCTTATTTCCATAGGTCTCAAGTAAGTCCACATACGTTCTTGACTTACTACCGCAGTTGAGCCCACAATTTCTGTGGCTAAGAATGAATTTTGCCCCATTTTACGACCTTTCTTGCCACAGTTGTTAAGTGAACGACTGCAGTTGTTAAGTTAGACACTAGTCAGTCTGAAGAGTTCTGGTTTTTCTTTTGTTCTTTTTCCAGGAAAAAAAGGAGCTGAACTGGTTCTTACACACCGAACTTTACAAAAGAAATATTAAGACCTCACTTTTAACCTATCATTTTAGTAAGTCTTGATTCCCTTCTTCTTCTTCTTTGCAGAGGTCATAGAGAAAAAGTACCTCGAGGAGACGAAACAACTGGACCTAGATCTGAACAACGAAAGGCAGAGATACCAGAATCTGCTCCAAGAATTCAGCCGGTTAGAAGAGCGATATGATGACCTCAAGGATGAGATGAAGCTGATGGAGGTGAGTTGACCTGAGGCCAAATTCAGTATCAGTCTTGGCTGTGGGGAGAGTTTCTTTCCAATAGCTCCAGAGAAATGGGAATGTGCACTATTACCTTGAGGTAAGATGGGCAACCTCTGTCTGTCTGTCTGTCTGTCATCTATCTATCTATCTATCTATCTATCTATCTATCTATCTATCTATCTATCTATCTATCTATCTATCTATCTATCTATCTATTTTCTATCTACCCATCATCTATTATCTATCTATCTATCTATCTATTTTCTATCTATCTATCTATCTATCTATCTATCTATCTATCTATCTATCTATCTATCTATCTATCATCTATCTATCTATCTATCTATCTATCTATCTATCTATCTCCATCCATCCATCCATCCATCCTCTATTCTCTCTCTCTCTCTCTCCCTAGCTACCTGCCTACCTTTCTATCTATCTACCTATCTAACCATCATCTAATTTTTCTCTATCTATCTATCTATCTATCTATCTATCTATCTATCTATCTATCTATCTA